GAGGGAGGGGGGAGCTGGGGGGAAGGGAAGGAGGAAGGAGGGGGAGGAGGAAGGAGAGGGAGAGAGAGGAGGGAATAGGAGGGGGAAGGGGCAAGGAGGGGGAGGGGAAGGGAGGGGAGAGACAGTGGGAGGTGGGGGAGGAGGAGGGAGGGGGAGGGGGAGGGGGAAGGAGGGGACAGTGGGAGGTGGGGGAGGAGGAGGGAGGGGGAAGGAGGGGGGGGGGAAGGAGGGGAGAGACAGTGGGAGGTGGGGAGGAGGAGGGAGGGGAAGGGGAGGGGGAAGGAGGGGAGAGACAGTGGGAGGTGGGGGTGGAGGAGGGAGGGGGAGAAGGGGGGAGGAGGGAGGGAAGCCCTCGCCGGTCCTCTAAAAGGTCTCCTCTAAAAGGCCTCCTTCGGACCAGCCCTGCTCTTCCGGGCCTGGCGCCATCCCTCCTCCTAGGGCACAGGCTCCCGCCCCCTCCGGTCTCAGGACTGAAGACACAGCTCCTGCAGAGGCTGCTGAACAGTTAATCCTTTTCCCTAAGCGTCTCCCTTGCCCTGTGGTTTTCTTTCTGCTCAAAACGGTTTTGAGGAAGGAAAAAAGCAGACGGAACCAGCAATTTGGTGGCAGAATTGCCCAAAATAATCCCTCTCGGGCCACCTCCAAGGGCTTTCCCAGGGCAGGCGGGCTCGGCCCCACGGGGACGTCTGGCTCTCTTCCTCTGCACCCCTGCACCCGGTGCGCCCGCGGCCAAGTGTCCTGCCTCTGCACACGCACACAGCTCCTACCTGCTGGCAGGGCGCCACCCATGGGCCCGCTGCACCTGCACACGGGCCTGTGGGTGGCAGAGTCCTCGGGCCCAGAGCCAGCTCCAGACCAGCCCCGAGCCCCACACACAGCCGGCGAGCCAGGAAGCCAGCGCAGACAGGTCCCTGGGCTCCCCTGTCCTCTCAGTACCCCAGCACGGAGCCATGCACACAGCAGGCGCTCAACGGCTGTTTGCTGACCTCACAGACCGATCGGTGGTCTGACTCTGCCAGGCAGACGCTGGCTTCCCTGCTGCCAGTTGCCTTCCCAGAGCCTCCGCTCTGTCCTCTAACAGCTCACATCCGTGGGGGGCGCCCAGCACCAGGTCACGGGGACCTGACCATGAGCGGCATGACGTGAGTGTGGGCCACGCGGGGACCGTACGGTCCTGCCCTGTCCGGGGCGGCCCACACTGGCCACGCGTGGCCCTTTGCACTTAAGCTTCCATTTGTTAAAGTCACGGCTGGCCCAGGCACCGGCGCCGGAGGCCTCCATATGGGGGACGTTTGCCCACCGTGACTCGGCGATCCTCTCTGAACATCTGGGCACCAGTGCAGCCCCGGGGCCCCACGCACCTCGCAGCTTCTCCAGGGGGTCATAGCAGCCCTCCTCCACACTTGAAAAGTAGTGGCCACAGTCGAGGAAGTAGGGCCAGGCCATGTCGATGGCGTCGAAGGCGGACTGGCAGGCCTCCTGCAGCCCCTCACACACGTGCCGGCAGGGCCTGTGCACATGGCCGCCCTCGCAGCGGGGGGCTAGCACAGCGCAGCCCAGCAGCCGCAGGTCAGGGTTGCACTGGCCCTCCAGCAGGTGGTGCAGGACGCTCAGCAGGATGTACTCCGAGCTGGACTCCACTGCCTCCCGGGACCGGTGCTCCAGCAGGGTAGGGAAGGTCGTCTGGTTATAGGCCACGTCACTGCAGGTCCTGAGCTGCATGTCCACACACGTGGCTGGGGGCAGGTGGGGTCACCGGGTCACTCCCTGCCTCCGTGACCCACACGGTCATCCGTCCTGCCCCAGCAGAGCCCCACGGGGCCAGGGCCCACAGGGATGGGGCCCCGACCAGGGCTCCCGGGGAGGAAGCCAGAGCCTGCGGGGGACCAGACAAGGCTCCCGAGACTAACTAGGCTCCACTGCTCCCTGGGGAGTGAGCCGGTGCAGGCCGCTCTGGGCCTCCACTGCCACAGCTGCAAAATGGGTGTGGGAAAGCCAGCCTTGCCGAGGGGCTGCCCCATCAGGGGATGTGGAAGAAGCCAGCAGACCCTGGTTTTGCAGAAGCAGGTGCGGACCCTCCCAAACTCACAGCCCCGAAGTAAACGAGTCCCCAAAGATGCACCCGGCTTGGAATGCCTCGTGTCTCCAGGAAAGTGGCAGATCGCGGAGTGGTTAGCTCAGGCTCAGGGAGCTGAGGACGGGGCTGGTGAAGACAGCCACGGCTCAGCCCGGCCTGACCCAGTTCTGCATCTCACAAGGGTGGGTGTCCCGGGTACAGGGAATTTATTGTCACTGGGCATTTTCTGGTGTGATCCTTAACTCCTATCTCTCCAACCCAGTACGGCGGGGGGCCCTTGCCTGCCCCACAGGCCTCTCCGGCACGGAGCTGAGTGCACGGTCATCCCCAAGCTGCCCCCCTCTGTGCCCTCAGGTGCAACTCCCTCATGGTACAAGTGACAAGATGTTGCCAGTTTTCAAAGTTTAAAAGGACGGGGTGATTTCTGCTCAGCATTTCTCTGCTCAAAACATTTTATATGTGTCGTTGGCTTTTCTATTGAGAGAATATTCCCTGCTTTTCAAAAAAGTCTAGTCCCTCCACTTAGAACATACCAGATGCCCAAATGTGGCAGGAGGGGACTTGAGAAGAAGCACCCGCTTCTGAGCTCATCAGACCTGTCAGAGCCCACCTAGTCTTCAAGCTCATCCCCTGAGATCAGCTTTCCCTTCCTCATGTTACAGAGGGGAAGGGGTTTGCCTGGCAGGTGCCTGCACGCAGCCGAGACTCAGGGAGCTCACAGGCTAAAGAGCGGACATGCCGTGTACACACGGCCACGTCGGACCCCAGCCAGCTATGGGGGCCAGGGGAGCAGGGATGCTTGGAAGGAGCATTTCTGGGGGAGCTGGGGACAGAGCCAGGGTGGGAAGCCCAGGCTGCATAGATAAAGGGTCCTTCCTCTTTTGTTTTGTCTAATTTCCTGCTGTTTAAGAAGGGGTTTGGATTTGAGTATTGGGCTTCGTTACTAATCACCCCTTGGGAACTGTGGGTTCAGCTCTCTAAAGGGCTCGACAGCGCAGAGGGACTGCATCACTCCCACAAAGCAAACGTGAGAGAAGTCCATGCATCATCGTACCACTGTGTGCAGCCCACGGCCCGTGGCATTCACCTGGGAAGAGAAAGGACAGTGCTGTTAGGGGTGTGGACCGCGGTCATTCCATCGTCCGGAGAATGCACACTAACGGTGGTGCGTGGCTGCTTCCGACGGCAGCCTGGCACCTCCCGAGTGCTGGCCACGCACCCGGCCCCGGGCTAACACCCCACCAGCTCTGTTTCAGGGGGCTGCACCCCAACCCTCCGGTGTTGATGGAAGCCTTCTCCCCGCTCCGCAGGGGAGGAGCCTGGCTCCCGGAGAGGTGCCATGACTCGCCTAAGGAATGACAGCCAGAGCGTGGGGTGGGTGCTCTGCATCCATCCGGCTCCAGTCTGGGGCCGCCCTGCCGTGTTTGCCAATCACCGTGGTGTAAACACCCACGCAGAGGCCGTTCCAAGCTTCTAGCAGTTGAACTAGTTCTGGCAAAATTCCCCAATATTTAACGAGCCTTTCTTGGAGCCTGTACCACAGCCGGCTCTATCCCCACCAGTAACTCTGACTCCACGTTATTCAAAGTCCCCAGAGAGTCAGACGGGCCCCAGCTCCCCCCGCCCCTTCCAGACCACTCTGCAAGAGTTGCGTTCCACCATCTCCTGAATCGGGGAGAAGAGGACCAACATGCAAACTATCCTTGCAATCATGGGCTCCCAGGGCCCTCCTCGAGACCCACACAGGGAGACCCAACAGTGAAAAGCCAGGAAAACCAGCCTTACTCAGTGCCACCTGGCAAGTTACCTCTCAGAAGGTCCGGGGCCTCTGGGAGCTCCAAGAAGGAGGAGCTGACTCAGAGGGATGGAAACCAGCATGAGGTTTAGAGCCTTGGCCCCTGCAGGCGTCCTGGGAGGACAGGCAGGCTGGGGGGCAGAAAGAGTGGGAAACAAGGGGGAAGGGGGTGCAGGGGGGAGCCCAGAAGAAGCTGAAACAGAGGGAAAAGCCTGTGTCTTAATCCTGTCACCTCACACAAAACCCAGGCCTGACCCATGAGCCCCAAGGGTGGGAGCCCCTTCTGGCGACGCACCCTGAGATCTGGGCGCTGTGAGCACTTTCCTGAGTGAACAAACAGGAGCCCCCACAGTGGGAGCAGCCAGAGGGTGGGCTCTGGTCCTGCGGGGCTGGCCAGGCAGCTCCCCCTTCCAGGACGCTCTGCACACGGTTTGCCCTCTGCGGACGAGGCAACCACAGCCCCCGACCCCACAGCAGACAGGCTCCCAGCGCCCTCATGGGATGGGGGACTACAAGGTACCCCCTCGCTGCCTGGTTTCTACTCTCAAAACTGGCGACCAAGAGATCCAGGCAAATGCTTGGCTGTGTGCAGATGCTCTGCAGGAACAGGCCTGCTGCCCTGGGACTCACTCTCCCTCCTTGTCCAAATAATACGGTGAGGGAGCCCAGTGCGAGCCAGGGAAGATGCCTAGCACTGGACCTAGACAGCCCTTGGTCATGGCAGGGAGACCCTGGTTTTTTTCCCCATTGCACGTGGGGTTTACTATAATCATGTGGTGGGAATAACATGAAGGTTCTATGGCACGACCCACATTCAGTGCCCAGCACAGGACGTGGCTCGGGTAGATGGCCCATAAGTAATAGCTCCGTTACTGCTACTGTTTTATAACACCCTTAAGACAGTGAGCCAAGGGTTCCAGGCTGTCCTAAGTGGCTGGCACCACTTGGGAAAAGCAACAGGCGAGAGAATAATTATCCTTAAATGATTTTCCTAAATAATTTTCCCAAATTTTGCTGGCTCTAATGCAACAGAGGGCTGCAGGGTGCCTACTGTGCCCACCTCGGATGCTGGGACCAGCGCACTGGCCGTGAGCGAGCTCGAGGACCCTGAGCAGCAAAAACTACCTGCTCCCCTCAGCATGCAGGGGAGGGCGTTTCTGGGCACCCACCTGACACTCCAAAGTCTTTATGGTCTATCGTGTTCCCTGACCCGTGCCCACCGTCGTCTGCAGAATGAGAGGCGTGACAGGCTGAACCAATACTTGAGGGAAAAAAGGAAAGAATAGGAAACCGACCCAGGACCTTGCTTGGAACAGTGTGCTGTTATCTGGCTGTCTCTGTAGCTAAAGGCACTGAGTTAACGCCAGGAGAACGGGTAAAAGCATCAGATCCATGCAGGGTCCTGTGCACGAGCGTCTGTGCCCGACGCTGACTGCTGAACCCCAGGACGCGCGCTCAGCTGACCCCCTGCCACAGCCCATGTGAGCTCGCACAGGGGCAGATGCCGTGACTCAGAAGGTCCGCTCAGGAGCCCGAGGTCTCACGGACCCTCAAGGGCCCCTGGCTCCCCTGCCCACGCCTGCATCCGTGTGCCCGGAGTGCACCCGCCGTGTGCCTGCGCTGAGCGGCAGTGGGCGAGCCTGCAGACTTGTTCAGACTCGGCACGCACAGGGAACGGAAGGACTCCCGGGGGGCAGGACCCCCGTGGCCTCAGGAAAACATGCAACGGGGAAACCGGGAGTGGACCAGTGACCCCGACTGCCCCCACAAAGTTACCAGGTGCCACACAAGGGGGCTGGATTTTGAGTGGATGTGAAGGGATCCCTCCCGGTTTTGAGGGGTTTTGATGTGCAGAGGAAGAAATTGAAGTTCGGGTCTCAGTTTCCTCTTCTGTGCAAGGAGGTGACAACAGAGCCCATCATTGTGGGGGAGCCCAGTAAGGGCTCCACAGATGGTAGCTGGGTCACATGGGCAGAAGGAGGGCTGCCCATCATGACCCCCGTGCTTGTGGGCAGGACGCGTGGACGGCACCTGCTGATGTGGGCACGGGAGCCAGCCAGATGGGGGGGTCGTGCTTCCTGGGGCTGCTACAACAAAGCTCCGCAAGCTAGTAGACAGACACCGAACGTCCCGCACCGCTGGAGGCCGGCAGCCTGAAATCAGGGGCTGGCAGGCCGGACCCTTCCGCGGGACCTGAGGGAGGGTCCTCCCCGCCTCTCCCAGCCTCTGGGCTCCCGACAGCCCTGGGCTTGTGGCTGCACCCCCATCGTCACATGCCCTTCCTGGTGGGTCTGTGTCCCAATGTGTTCCTCTCCTAAGCACACCCGTCATTGGATTTAGGGCCGGCCCTGAGCCGGTGTGGCTTCCTCGTACTCTGACTGTACCTGCGAAGCCCCACTTCCCAGGAAAGTCACAGCCACAGGTATGGGGACTCCAACATTTCTTTCTGGGGACACAATTCCACCCACGACGAGAGGCCAGCCCCAGTGTGCACCTTCGGGGAGCTCAGGGCTGGGGTGGGGTCAAGGGAGGAGTGGCCCGCTCTGGCCCACGGCGCACTCAAAGCGGGGAGTCCCTGCCGACGCCTGCTGCACATGTGAAGTCCTCACCAAGTCTCAGACTTAGTATAAAGAAAGAACATAAAGCACCTCATTCGTAATTGTATATGGATGACAACATGCTGAAACAAGATAGTGGCTTAAATAAAATTGGTTGTTCGGGTGAATTTCACCCGTGTCTCGTGTCCTCTTTAGTGTGACCACTAGAAAACGCAAAATTATCATGGGGCAGGCATCCCTGGGTGTCGAGGGCGCCAATCCAAGGCTGCTCCTCGGCCGCCCCCGCACGTGCCCGTTCCACGAGGTGACCACAAGGTGTCAGCACGTCTTCAGCGAGGGACCCAGGCTGACCTGGGGCTGGCCGGCTTCCCGGCTCCCTCCCTCCCTCCCTGCCTCCCTCCCTCTTCAGCGGAGGTTAGGTTGTTGGTTCTGGCCAAGGACTCTTCTAACAGACAAGAAACCTGAATGCGGCCAGAGAGGTTGGGCCATCTGCCCAAAGCTACACAGCAGAGAAGAGGACTCAGGATTTGAACCCAGACCTGCCTGGCCCCTCGGAGCACGAACACTGCCTCAGCCCGCAGGCTCCCTGCGGAGCTCTGGAATAAGGCAAGAGACAAGGGCGGAGGGGAGGGTCCAGGCTTGCTCTGAGGCTCCAGGACGGGCACAATAAAGACACAGATACAGGCATCAGGTAGAGCAGCCTGGACGCAAACCGCCCCGTCCCCGCCCCGAACCAGCCTGCCTTCTGGAAAAGCCATTCGGCTTCTAAGGACTGCACATGGTCCTCTGTCCGGAGTGAAGATCGGACTGGAGCAAGGATTTCTCCTGGAAACAGTCACCGGTGCCACCTCAGGGCTTCAGCCAGAGCTCCCCACCCCACCTCCGCCCATTCCTCAGAGTGAGGAAGGAGTGGCCTGTGCCAGCATCCAGAGGAGGGGGTGCACTTCTCCCTGGGAAAAGGACAGGTCAGGGAGGACTTCTTGGAGGAGGGGGCCATGGTCCCCAACAAGCCTATGATTCTAGACATTTCCTGGGGTCTCAGAGGTCCAGGGGATGGTCCATCCACGACACAGTGCAAGTTCTCTCCACATCCTGCCTGCACACCTGTGCACACGTTTGCACACACACACAGGCACACACTCTGCCTGGGCCTTTCTGCAGCAATGGAGAGGAGGAAAGGGGTGAGGGCGAGGGCCAGAGCGGGGAGGGAAGAAAAGGAAAGATCGGCATTGGCACGTTTGAGAGGGACATTTTGCTCCTGGCACATGGACTTGGCTGTGCCAGCACCTTCTCAGGTATCCACAAACCCCAGCCCCCGAGAGATGCCCAGACTCCTGTGCCCAAGGGGACAGAGATGTCTGCCGCCGATAAGGATGCTGAGGACAGGGGACTAGATGCACCTCCAACTCTGAATATGAGGGGAAACTGAAGCCCGCTCCAGGAGGGACCAGAGCCCAGGACCGCAGGTCCCTGCCTCCACCCCTCACCCCACACTCACAGGTGAGATCACACAGGCAGGCGCATCCCTTCCCCCTGTCCCAGAGCCCTCCAGGCACACCCACTCCCTCCCCAGGCGACCACCAGCCCCCTCCCAGGCCCTCAGAGCCCATTTCGGGAGATATTGTTGTCCACATCACTGGCCTGAGGTGGCAGGGAGCGGTCAAGAGTTTGCTGCTGCCCACAGGCTGCCCCCTTCCTGGGAGGAACAGGGACCTCGGACGGCCTGTCCCCTGCAAAGTCCTGGCACCTGCTCCCTCAGACCCCACCGGCAGGGTGCCCCACCCACTGTGCCCTGCCCCGAGGGGGACTCCGGTGGGCAGGGCACGGTGCCCCTCTGCTGCCCCAGCTACCTGCTGCTCTCCGCCCTGGGGTCCCAGCCTCCCTGTACCCCGAGAGCCCAGTGCCCCCCTCCCAGCGGACCATGAGTTCCAAGGGCACGGGCGCGCGCTTGGGGACCTGCTCCGGGGCCAGGGGTCGCTGGGGGGCGGGGGAGGGGGCCAGTTCCCGGCACGGGGCGCGCGGTGGTGGGCCTTACCGGCGGGCCCCCGGGCGAGCGGGCACCCGGGCCGGGCGGCGGCGGCGGCCAGCGCGGCAAGCAGCAGCAACGGCGGCGGGGGCCGCATGGTGGGCGGCGGGCGGGCGGCGGCGCAGTGATGTGGCACTCGGCACTCAGGCCGCGGGGCGAAGGCCGCTGGGCTCCCGCCCCCCAGGAGCGCGAGCGCGGAGTCGGGTTACAGCGCAGCCCAGACTCAGCGTGGAGGGGTGCCGGCGGGAGGGACCGAGCCGAGCTGCCCGCTTCCGGCCCAGGGCCCGCCCCCAGGGCCCGGCGCCCCCTCTAGGGCTCGGTCTCCCTTCTGGCACCGAGGGCCCTGGGAGCTGACCTCCAAGCCCCTGCTGATCCTGCCTAAAAACCCCTCTTTTTGAACAGGGCGGGTCTGGGGGCCAAGGTGGGCCCTGGCCCTCGTGTTCACCCCAGCTGGTGGTGAACGGGCCAAGTTACTCCTCTGTCCCAGGAGGGAGGAGGGAGTGACCCCATCCCCCCACGGAGCCAGGGCGTGGGTGTAGGAGAATTGTCTGTGCGGGATGTTTAGGTACCAGGAAGGGCAGGCAGCTCTGGATGTCCTTGGGCGGCTCCTCACCTCTGAGGGGGGGGGTCTCCCTCTGCTCCCTGAGGAGAAGCCCCCTCCTGGTCGCTCCAGCAGAGCCAGGCAGGGAGCCTGGCGCCAGGGTCCTCAGTGAAATGTGGCAGACCATCACTCAGCTCATCAAAGGGGGCAACAGACCAACCCAGTGGTGGCATAAAATATCGCAGGGGTGAGTCCACCTCCCCTCTAGATGAGGGGGCAAAGGCAATGTGGGGGCGGGGGCGGGACAGTCCAGCGCAGACAGCCACGCCTCCATGACCTGACTGCTGAGGGTGTGGGAGGACTGCTTCCCACTCTCCCCAGCCCCTGCCTACATCGCCCGCAGCCATCCGGGCAGGAATTCGAGGGGCCTGGGAGGAGGGAAGCCCAGGACCCTGGTCCCAAGGTGAGGGAAGTGTGGCGCCAGAGCCCCCGGCTCACTGCCCAGAGCCTCTCTCTCTTCCCAGGACCAGGACTGTTTTGGGATTTAGCGAACGCCTTTGAAGCACCCCCTCATGGAGCTCAGCAGGTGCTGACTCTGCCGTCCAGATGTGCACACATCTGCCTGCCAGCCACTTGTCACAGCCCACAGCTGCAGTCCAGCCCCTGGTGTGCTCGCGCCCTGGGCCCTGGGGACAATGCCAGCTAGACACCTGGGTCCACATCCCAGCAGTCACCTGGGCCAGTCCCTCCCCTGCTAGGCCATCCACCCAGACTGTCTTTAGCATCCATGTGCCTTTATGGGACTCCTTTACCAACTGTCCTGGGTGGAGGGGAGGACCGACCCTATAGCCAGATGCGACTCCGCCCTAAGACTTTGGGCAAGCCCCTTAACCTGGAGTCTGGGATTATCGTGACGGTGCCTGCCTTGGGGTAAACATCGGACAAGGGCTTCAATCCATGCCTGGCCCCGAGAACGAGCCGCTTACTCCAGCCCATTGACTCTAGTTGCCCTTTTCGGCATCCGATGTTCCATGCCGCCCTCTGTCCACCCAGACCGCAGCTAGTCCTTCCAGAAGTCTCTGGGCTTGCTCCAGCCCGGGCACTTTCCTTTGACTTTCCCATCTGGGGTCCCCGCTCCAAGCTGGGAGGGCGAATTCAGACCCCACCTTTCCTGAGTGCCAGCTGATGGGTGCACATTCTCGGGGAGGTTTTCACCCTCCGCCCCGTGTGCCAGGGGAAGCATGTGAGTCTCCTTGCTGTCCCCTCTCGTAGGCAGGTTAGGTTCTCACGACACTGAGCCTGCAACCCATACATGGCCAGATTTGTGTGGGCATCTCCTATTACAGCCCTCACTGTGGGTTTGTTTTTTGTCTGAGCAGTATATGGAATAATGATACTGTTTCAAACCAGTGGCATCTAAGATTTGGGAAAGAGAAAGGGTCATGTTAGCTATTGCTATTTTTAGGGACCCAGTGGGTAGAATTTGGTAATCCGCTCTGGGACCTACCTCTTTCCTTCCCAATTAAGTTGGAAGGAACCGTCTCTCACCCAAGCCTCCTTGTCCAAGAGAGGAGGAGGGCACCCCACCAAGTGTTTTGGCAGGGCCAAGTCCAGGCAGGTTAACCCTTTCCCAGGGCCAAGAGCTGTGTAAGTCCTCCCCCTTCCCTGCTCTGTCCGGCCGCCCACGGGATAATTGGCCAAGAGGGGCGGGGCAGCGTGTGGCCAGACCTGGACCATCAGGATGGGACAAGGTGACGCAGCCAGAGCCTGAGGCTGCAAGAGTTTAGATGCTCGGGCGGGCAGTGGAGGGACAGGGTAAAACATGGGGGAGGAAGCCTCGTGGTGTCACGGAGAGAACACAGACTCTGCCATCCCCTATGGGTCACTTCACCAGGTGGCTCGCCCTGAGCCAGTGGCTTACTTCAGTGAGCCTGGGGCCCTCCGCTGGGAAGGTGCCGTTGCCCATCTCAGGGCTCACGATGATGGGGGAAGTCCACCCCTCCTTTGGTGCCCAGCTGAAGGGTCAAGGCCCCTGGGCGCAGCACCCAGACTCCACCCCTCCCCAAGCTTCCTCTGGGACAGCACTCGCCTCCCTGAACTTAGCGGGTCTAACTCGTCCAGATTCCAGAGAGCTCTCCAGAACCAGCTCGGTGCTGCCCCTGCTGGGAGCTGGGGAGACGTTCTCCTCACGAAGCCCCAGCCCCGCCTGGAGTTGCCAACCCTGCACGGTGGGGAGTGGTTCCTGCCCTGTGGGGTCTCAGACCCTCTGGGAATCAGATGGGAGCTGGGCACACCCCCGCCCCCCGGAAGAGCATGTGCTGTGCTGCGTGCCCCGGGAAAGCACAAAGTTTGCAGGAGGACTGAGCCCCCGCGGGGCAAGTCTAGTCCCACACCTCTCGGAAGCCCAGCAGGGAGCCGCTTCCCTGGTAGCTGGCTCCGGGCTGCTGCAAAGGCAGCACTTTCTCTTTTGCAGAGAAACAAGAGAACTTTGAATAAAATGTTTATTGATTCACACAGCACTTGGGACGTGACATCATTTTGCAATACATTTAAGAGCACACGAAAAGGATCTTTCAAAATAAAAAAAAAAGACCACAAATCCAAGGCGAAAGATAACATAGCGAGTCAGAGAATGCTCTAGAATGCCCAGCATGGACACAACTAGTGGCACTCACCCGGGAGGCACCTGTGCCTGAGTGGTCTTCTAGAAAATTCCCTGGTGTCTTCAGGGAAGGCAGAACAGGAGAGAAGCCGTCACCGCCTGCGATGCGTGTTGTCTCTTCCTAGCTGTGGCATTTTCCAGGGGACAAGATACACATATTTCCTCGCATGGATGCAAGGCTTCTTCTTGCCCCCAGAGAAGTTCCCAGGAAGGAGAGAGGGTTCAGCCTGCGAGTTCACAGCCTGGCTCTGAGTTACCTGCAAGACAATAGAGACAGAGCTTCCTTTGCAAGCACTGGGGGTGCCCATGGGACCCCAGGCTCTAGGGCCACGTGCCGCCTGTGAACCCCCTCACACCTGCAATGGCTAGCCCAAGGCTGGAACGTGGCTTTCCTCGAACTGCCTGGGTGGGTTTTTTGTTGTTTTTAACTTCTTCCTGACCACAGATCTAGTTATTATCATTCCTAAAAATAATTTGTTTTCTTTGAATTGCGCTTTACAATTTATAAGCACTTAAATATAACCTGCTTGCGGGGAGACATTGGAGAATCAGCCCAAAGCTGCCAAATGACACCCCAGGGGTTGGGAAGAACCTGTCCAGCTGGCTCCAGCAGGCTGTAAGCTGTCCCTGATGCCCTGATGGGCCCCAAGGAGCTCTGTGTTTGCGTATCTACAAGGAAGAGACTCAGGACCTCGGCTGGGGGGCCAGCACTGCAGGCTCTGCAGCATCCCACCGGCGAGGCCCTCCCTGAGAGTCCCTCCTACCACGTGCTGGGCCCCTATCCTGCAGCCCAGCCCCAGTTCTGCAGGGGACGGCTGGGGCCCGAAGAGATGCGCAAACAGCAATGGAGAGGGAACTGTGTCCATTCACCCCTCACGCAACACACCCCTACAGAGGGCTTACAACACGCTGCGCACCATTCTAGTTTTGAACCGTGAACTATAACAGATGTGCACACGGGTCCCGGACGCTGTCCCATGGGCCCATTTAGTGACCATAACCGGGAGTGCCCCACCCCACTGCCAGCCTGAGGGAAGCCCCAGCCTCTCTCGGGTCCCCTCAGTGCTGAACAGAGTGGCTGTCGTGAGGAGCAACCCCCACTCTCAGCAGCCGATTGGGATGCCGGCCAGGACCTGGGGGAAGTCCACTCAGGGGTTGGCCGCGGCCTAGCCGTAGCTCAGGTACTTGCTCAGGATGCCCCAGGGAGGGCTAACAGTGACAAAGGACACACACTCCACTAGCCTGTCAGGGAGTTGAGCAGGTGGTTCAGTGGCAGTGACCACGCCCACGTACACACCCGTGCCCTAGAGTGGGAGGTTCTAGAACCACAGAGAGTACAGGCGACAGCCTTGCCATTTCTAGCTGAGTGGCTCTGCGCACGCTTTGTGAGCCTTAGGCTCGTGTCTCCAGTGAAGGGCATCGGGGGACTGAGCTTGGGAGCAGCACAGCCGGGTTAGTGTGTGCAAAGAGCTGCCTGGCTGGTACCCCCCACATTAGAAGCAGGAATGAAATCAGAGCCTCATGGCCACGTGCGTGGATGGGATTCTAATGTGGCGGGTGGTTTAACCCGTAAGCATTCATATACGGAGGGGTGTGCTGTTCCTCCCGAAAGAGTCTCTCTCCCCCTGCCAGGTGGTGCATCTGTTCTGGTCATTTTGTAATTGCTACAACTATGTTAGAGATCTTCTCTGGGGAGTTGTTTTCAGAACTGTGATGCATTGTTAGATTCCTCTGTGGACACCTTGAAGGTGGATTTAACCTGCTTAGAAATATCACAGAGTCACCTTGAGCCCAGCAGTGGTGGTGAGGAGGAAGAAGGTAAAGGAGCTGGGGACACAGTGATTTTCCCTTTCTGTTTCTTGGTTATCGCCCTTGGGTTTTATTGATTCAAATGCCAGAGTGGATTAAGGTCCCAGGTGTGCGGCACCCTCACCTCCGGGAGTGTGCAGTCTGGGGTGGGGATGGGGGTGCAGATGAATACAGAGCCAGGGTGCTGCTCCCAAACTCAATCCCTCAATACCTCTCCCTCACCGGAGACACCTGCCTGTCCCTGTTGACCTGCGTCTTCTGCCATCAGGACAAAGAGCCCAGCGAGGCAGGACTCACCTGGAACCCGGCACAAAGCCCAGCACGCAGGAGGTGCTCAGAAAATGGTGAGTGAGTGAGTGAGATGCACCGCCTCGTGAGCACTCATGACAGTCATAAGCGGCTCTATTTTATCTCATCCACAGTTCCCACAAAGGGTTTGGTGATGTGCGTCACAGAGAAGAGAGTGTGAGCAGTCTATGTCACCGAGTGCGCACAGTGAAATTGGGCTGCCAATGTATGCACTAAGGCTCTGCTCTTCCTGCCACACATGTGTGTGCATATGCACATGCACGCTCACATATACACACACGGGTCCTTGCACACCTAAATGACAGAAAAGTAAAAGCTAGCAGTCAACATAGTGTGGTTGAGTAATCCAGGCTCCCTCATTATTCATTTACAATTTCAAAAGCAAATACTGAAGCTGGGTCACATGAAGGAGCTCTTGAAACTCTAGCACCCACCCCTGGGGGCACACACACACACACACACACACACACACACACTCACATGTCTACACGCATGTGTACACAGAAACCATACCAGATCAGATTGCTGGTTCATGGGACAATGCCACGGTTGGCCCTGTCTATGACTGCACACATGCAGTTTAAGAACATGAGACACCGGCCAGGTTTCGTGTGAAGAAGCATGGTGATGCCTGTGATCCATGAGAAATCCACCCTGTCCTGGGGCCAGATGGGTGGGGGGCCAAGAGCCACCTGACTCACATCCTGAGCATTGATTCCAGAGAGCTCTCAGTGGGAGCTTGACAGGGTGGACAGAGCCCACTTCATTTGGCACAGATGCTCCAGAAGCCTCCCCCAACCCATGGGAACCATGGGTGCCCTCCCTATCACGCTTAACAAACCAAATGACCTGAGGAGGTAGACAGCCTGAACAGACAAGTCGACCTCCCAGTGCATCCTAGAGCTTCTAGGAGATGCTTGCTGGAACAAACCCAGGAGCCTGGCACCCTGCCCAGTGCCCTCTCTGCCCCTTGCGTAGGCAGCCTGGGCCAGAGGCTGAGAACCATCAGCTCCACCCAGGAGCCACTTCCCTCAGGGTGTCCTTCTGCCTCGGCCCAAGATGGGGTGTGGGGACCACCCAGGGAGGCTGACCACAGCAGGGGCCTGGCCACGGAATGAGAATCCCAGGAATCCCAGTGTCAGGAACACAGAGACAGCTGCTCTCACCACAGGACTCTGACCGTCTGGGCCCCTGACATGCAGTCTCCACCAGTCTCCTACCAGCTCCAGGCCAGGGTCTCCAGGGAAAGGGATGGGAGGAAGAGCTCTGGGCGAGTGTGACAGTGGCCTTGGCCGGGACTTGCTGCAGCATCCCCGAATCCATGTCCAGGGGATGCTGAGTCTGAGGCCTCGGTTGATCCCAGACCACCTAACTGGCTTTAAAAGCTCCCTAAGACTGGGAAGAGTCAGACGTTGGCTCAGACAGACCCCGCACCTGCCTGGCCCAGCCTCAGTCTCCCCAGACAGGACCAGCTTTCTCATTTACAGCAAGGGTATGGGGCTGGTGCTGTCTCTGTCCCGGGGCCTTTGACAAGAGCTGGGGTGAGGCCCCAGCTGCCTCAGGTGTGGAGGAAGGACCCTGTGGATGTCAGCTTCCCTTCAGGTCCCCAGCGGGGAGACCTCAGAGGGCTGCCTGCCTGCCTGGCTGAGGCCAAGCCCCACTTCCCAGAAGCTCCCAGGACAGGGGTCTGAGGGCCAGGACCCGCCTGGTCACAATGTATGCGGCTAAGCAGATGATGAAGGACCTGATGAAGATGCTGATCTGTCTGGCAGCCACCAGCCATGGTGCTTCTGCTCACTGAGGCAGTGCTGGGGGGACAGAACAGAGGACACAAGTCAGGGCACGCGCGGGGCAGGGAGGAGCTCCTGGGGGCGGGGCAGAGGCAGATATCGAGGGAGAGGGGAGTTTGGAGGAGGGGCAACCTGTAGCAGTGACACCAGCTGGAGACTCCGTGGGCAAATGCATGCCAAGTCGGGAGCAGACAGAACCCCGGCAGACCCTCCGCAAGACCTGAGACCTCAGATCAGTCAAGGGCATGGGGGAGCAGGGCAGAAACTGGAAGGAGTGTTCAGATCCACACCACCTGCCCAGAAGAGGAGTGACTAACTCCTCCCACGGTGGGGGGGCCACCCTTCTCCGGTGGCTCAGACCTCACGGCTTGTGCCAAAGCTCACTGTGGGCACATACTCCACAGGCAAATGCAGACACTAAGAAGCACCTGGCCCTTCCAGTGTGTGGACTCACTGAGAGTACAAACAAGCAGATGCAGAAACCTGGGAGCAGCATGCCGGGGAAGCCACACAGCGAGGGAACCCCCCGGGGGCAGGTGCTGGTGCCTGCTGCTGGCTCAGGAGCCAGCCGCCAGTGGGAAGCGCAGGAGTGGGTGCGGCCCTCTGGGCTGGGTGGGGACTCGCGGCCGACTACCTGGGATGCAGGGGCATGAGCAGCACAAGCCCCTTGCATGGTGTCGACATCAGAGTGCTGGCAATGGCTCTGGGCCACCCACAGCATCTTGAGCCAGGGGAGGCCGAGCACAGGGAACAGCAGTGCAAAGCCAGCAGCGTGGAGCTCGGCGGGGCGCCGGCAGGGGAAGCAAGCAGGACGCGTAGGCTCCGCTGTAGAGGAGCCATGAGCAGGAGAGCGCTGAAGACCAATGACCGTCCCCACACCTAGGCCATCCGGGCAAATATGGTGGAGTGGGAAACCCACCGCCAGCCACCGGTCTGCATTCAGCGCTGCCGTGCCAAGTACGGAGTTGGACTCCAGGAAGGTGTCCAGGAAGCATGCGGCCTGGTACACGCTGGGCCCAGATGGCGCCCGCCCCGCGCAGCTTGCCCGAGCAGCATGAAGGGCATGTCTAGCGCCGCCGGCAGCAGGTAGCCCAGGGACGGGTTCACCGGGAAAGCGCGCAACGCACGCGCGCCGCTCGGCTGTCTAGGCGCCGCAGAGCAGCACCAGCGCGCTGGACAGCAGCGCACGGCCCTCAGCGCCTCTCCCGGGCCCATGGCGCTAGCGGCCGGCCAGGCGCCCCGCGGAACAGAGGCGGCAGGGGCCCGCGCTCATGGTTCCGCTCCGGCCGCAGGCGGGGAAAGTGGCGCGGCGGACGGGCGCGCTCTTGGAGTCCCGGAGAGCCAGAGCCGACGTCACGGCTCGGAGCGGCGCGCGGAAAGCGGTGGCAAGCTCTGGGTCCCCGGTGGCTGGCCAAGCGCGCTGCGCTGCGGAACCGGGAGCGGTCGCTCCGCCGCACGGGTCACCTCCTGCGGCGCTGTCCAGGGTGCTGAACGTGCTCGCGGTCCCCGCGCCCGGCACCAACCTGTTTGCGGCACCGGCCGGCGGCTGAATCTAGGCGGGAGGGTGAGGAGTGCTGGAGTCACTGTGGTCTCTGCAGTCGCCTTCTCTTTTCTTCCCTCCACATGCAGCGGCTGGATGGAGCTCCACACCCTTCTGCCCCAGACCAGGACAGTCCTTACAATGGTCACACCTCCTACTCCGGAGCCTCCTGGCGGTGACTCACAGGCCGTGGGATGCTAAAAAGCTCTCTGCTTCTCCCCGGTTGTGTTTCCCCTTTCTGCGCGCCTCCCCCTCTCCTGCGCTGGCACCAAACTGGAGTGACCCAGCGGTATGGGGGAGAGCGGAAGCAGGGAAGCAGGAGACTGAGGGGCAGGGAGCTGTGCTGGATGGGCAGGGGGAGCTAGAGGAAGAAAGCACCGGGGCACCTGGATGGCAGTCCTCTTTCCCAGCCCCAGCTCAGGGCCAGGGAGTGGATCTATGTTTGTTGAACCAAGAAGGGCAGCAAGAAGTGGAAATGGGACGAGAAACGAGGGAAGGAAGGAGGTGAAGAAGGAAAAGTAAAGAGGAAAGGAAGAAGAAGGGGTAAGGGAGAGAAAAGCAAAGAGTAGGAGAGAAGGAAAGAGAGAGAGGCTGAGAGGCGTGGTTCCCTGCTTGGTGCAATATGGAACTCCCTTTGGACCTGAGCTCTGCCTCTCCAGGTGGCTCTTGGAGCCCCTTGGAAAGGGGGGTCTGTCTCTCTCTCTCCTCCTCTCCTGCCCCCTGGGCTCCTGAACCTGTAGGAATCTTCCAATCCCTTCAGTGGACAGTTGGCAGGACAAGAATGGACGGAGGCAGTTAGAAGCTGCCAGACTCCAGGAAGATTTTTTGGCACCTTCTCTTTTTGGCAGCCTCTACGTAAAAGGGGCCAGAAGGCAGACCCTCACCCCATCTTTCCCTGGCCCACTCATCCACTCTCACCCAGAGGTCCTGAAAGCCTAGCCCTCTCCCAGGGACAGAGGATGCCTAGTGGGGAGGCGGCTCGCCTTCGTGGGGGTCTCCCTGGTGCCAGTGCTAAAAGGACTGAGTGAATGCAGGTGGCTGGGGGACTAGGGGGGGACAACCTGCACTGGTCCCATCACCCCAGCCACGTGGCCTTGGGCAAGTCACCTCTTGGGTCTCCTTTTCTACTGTGTGTAACAGGGATATTAATAACTATCGGTCGCACCTTCCTTACGTGGTTGCAATTAGGATTAAACTAATAAATATACATAGAGATCTTCAAACAGTGCCTGGCACACAGTGAGTAGTCAGAGAGATGTCTGCCTTTATCATGACTCCATTTTCTAGTTGAGGACAGGGCAACTCAGATAAGTCAAGTGTCTCTTCCAAGGTCACAGAACTAGAAACCAGGGGCTCTGGGAATCAAACTTGGTCCTTCTGGCTCCCACCTGATGTCCTGTCAGCCCTCCACATGGCCTCCTACAGAGAGGCCAAGCCCAGTCTCCATCCTCCAAATGCAGTGGCTTCCTCTTTCGACCTCCCTCCCACTAAATGCTTTCAGACCCAAGAGAAAGTCTCATCAGATCAGACCTTGTCTGAAACCAGAACCGTAATGCCAAAGCCGTCCCTCCTGACTTTCTGGAGAAGAGTAGGCAGCTCTACAGCTCCAGGTGTCAGTGGACACATTGAAGGTCGCCGGGAGAGCATGGCTGCAGGGGCTCCCCCAGTCCCTCCAAGGCTCCTGAGTGGCCATCTGTGGATCGGCGGATCAGTGGAGGCATCAGATGCTTCATGGGGAGACTTCGATCCAGCCAGTGACAGCAGCTCCTGAACCCTCTGAACGTCTCCACAGAGGCAGATTCCAGGCAGGTTGCTTGGGGGGACAAGAGCATCATTCCGAGATGTGAGCACAGGAAAGCTTTGCCGGTCAGCGTTATGTAAAGACAGGCCATCTGTTCACCCACAAAGAGTTCTGGGTGCCCCGCGTGCATAGGGGACTGTGCCAGACAGACTGCAGAGACTAACAAGCTTTGATGCTCACACTTTGATGAGCAGAGAGAAGATCGGACAACATAAGATCTGAAACACAAGCGCACTAACCTCCTATAAGAAATAATGATCTTATTTTTTTTAGGATTTTACTTACTTATTTGAGAGAGAGAGTGAGTGGGGGCAGAGGGAGAGGGAGAAGGAAACAAGCAGACTCCCCGCTGAGCAGGGAGCCTGACTCAGGGCTCGATCCCACAATCCTGAGATCGTGGCCTGAGCCGAAATCAAGAGTTGGATGCTCAACCCACTGAGCCATCCAGGTGCCCCAATGATCTGATTTTTTAAGACAAATGAATTTTATCGATTATAATGAAATACTGTCACTGTGAACCAACTCATTTCCACAAACTTGCACTGGAAGTTTGTTATGTGCACTCAGGGAGCGGAAAAATATGTGTAAGGAGAGAAAAGAACAAGTATTAACTGAGTGTATTGAATTTTACTTAATTTTAAGCATATTTCATGATTGAGCTTATCTCATTTAACCATATTTATTTCCCACCACAGCCACTCGGGGATGGGTATTCCTGCCCCAATTTCTCCGACGAGGACACAGTACAGAGCACTGGGCTCTGACTCAGCAGCAGAAGCAGCCTCATGCAAGCCCAGGACTGGATTGGGGCTGGAACAACAGTCTTGGCGAGCGTGCGGAGGAAGAGGCCTTGGTCTCCAGGCTGGCAGATCCAGGAAGCCTAAGGGTGCCATGCAGAGCAGGTATTCCAGGCACGTGGGTGTGGGCATCTGTGGTCACAGCGGCAGAAGGAGCCAGCACATGTGGCTGGGGTGGGATTCGGAAGGGCTTCCAGCGGGCGTCCAGTGGCCAATGAAGAATTTGGGGGCAATGTGGCAGCATTCAACGTTACTGAGCAGGGGCCGGACCTTCTGGAGCCAGGGCTGAGCTTTGTCATTGAAATGCGCGTCCCAGAGAGAATGAGCAGGAGGGCCCTAGTGAGGGCCACAACCTTATTTTTGGAGTACTTTTTTTAACGTGCTGAAAATATTTAACATTTTAATTTCCCCCCCTAAGATTGGAAGATAAATGGATCAGACCCTGTATGCCACCCTGCAGAGGGTTTAAATTTTTCACCAGGAATGAGATTCAAAGGTAAGGATAGTAACTGGTATTCTATTGATGAGGCCACAGGTTCTCAAACCCAGGGAGAGGGGGGCAGCCCAGCCAGTGAGATCTGAGGCCTGAGGCTCGGGGGTGCGTACACAGCAAATGTGTACTTAGATCCACCAGGATGCTGCCTCCAGTCATCTGCTTTCCAGGCAAGCATCCCAAAGGAATAATGAGAAATGTCAGCAAAAGTATTTGCACACACACATGCAGGGAAGGGAAGGCGGGAACGAGAGAAGTGGACGAGTCAGCGGACAGCAGGAAGCTGGTAAATCATTACTATACCCCACAGCAGAGCAGGATGCAGACACTCACAGGCATCCGCGGGATTCCGCCTAGGGTGTGTCGTTCAGTGGAAGCCACGGGAATCACGTGGCAATCTCAGCTCTAAGCAATGCCTGGAAAAGGCTGCATACCACGCGCCAGACCACCATGGTGGTCAGCTACGGGCAGCAGGATTATGAGCGCTGGGGGTTTCTTCTGTTTCTTCACCGTTTCCGATAACTTCCGCATTTTCTGTAGGAGCATGAGTGCGTGAAAATCAGGAAACCGCTCAGGAAGAAAGATCCAGTTGAAATCCTCCATCAAAACTCTGAGCAGTGCTGTGCCTTCCCCACCTCAAGCTCTGCCTCCCACGACTGACTGGTTAGTCCGCTTTGGAGCATCTTGGTCTTGTAGAACCCTGAGCTTCCCGCCAACCTGTCCAGGAGCAGGAGGAAGGGAGCGGAGAGAGGAAAAGACAGGTGAAAATTCCTCAGGCTTGCAGAGGGGTGGCAGGTGCTAAGGCGGTGACCGTACAGGCATGCCTCCAATGCCACACTCATTGTTATCAACAAGACTTTCCAGTCCGTTCCTTAGGGAAGCACAGAGAGTCTCCAAAGCACCGGGGGCCTGGCATCCATGCATGCAGGACAGAGACAGGAGAAGCCAGAAGCTGGACGTGACCCTGGCGGGACACAGGCTGCGGCAGAGGGAGGTCCAGGGTTCCGGGACCCCCAGGTGGCTCCTGACCCAACCCAGGTCTCCCCAGAGTCAGAACAACAACCGTCAGGCCAAGAAGGGGCAAGTACGAGAAAATTGGATAATGTAGACAGGTTGGCGGGAAGCTCGAGGCTGTCGCCCGGGACAGGGACAGGCGTGAGAAAAGCTCAATGGCAGACTGTGTCAGCCAGGTTTGTCCCGAAGGCTGTGGGATGGCAGCCAAGGGCTGTGGCCGGCACGGCAGGGGCTCTTTGGATCCTTCGGTCTGGCGGCCCTGGAGGCCTTGGGAGCCTTGCCCTGTGCAGCCTGGGCTCCTGCTGCCCAGAGCTCTGGGCAGGAGAAAGCCCCACCCTCCATGAAGAACCCCTCGAGATAGAGCAAGGGACAGTCTCAGAGAGGTCCTAGAGGCAGCCTGGGGCCCCCGCCTACCTGGGCCACCTCCATTCGTCCAGCGACCCCACAGCCTTCAGACCACACCACACCCTTTGCCTGGTTTTCCCACCGAAGCACTTGAAACTCAGGGCCACCTACTCGGATGCCCTCTGCTCTCCCACCCACCCTTCCTCCAGCAAGAGGCAAAAGGATACCCCAGAGCCTCCTCCTTCGTAAAACACAGGAACACAAAGATTTCCTACGGGGCTGGCAACCCATCTCAGTGTCAACGGGTGCAACTTCGTCTTCGGACAGTGGGGGAACGCACGGGGGTAAGGAGAAGGTTTGTGGTTTGGAGCCATTTGAGCCTGGGTTCAGATCCCAGCTCTCAGCCCCTTCTGAGCAGCATGGACTTAGACTCTCTGAGCCTCAGTCTCTTCATCTGTGAAACGGGAACATGACTGCCACATTCTGAATGTTCACGTCCCCAAAATTCATATGTGGAAGCCCTAACGCTCAGTGTGATGGCCTCCAGAGGCGGGGCCTCTGGGAGGTGCTCAGGTCATGAGGGTGGAGCCTCCTCTACTGTACCATACAGTCTCCATTGTAGGAGCACTAATCCCACTCACTGGGCTCGTCTCCCAAGGCCCCGCCTCCTGAGGCCATCACACGGGTGGTAGGGTTTCCACACGTGACTTTTGGGGACATGAACGTTCAGAACTGTGTTCCCAGTTTATAGATGATGGGACTGAGACTCAGAAAGGCTCAGGCTCTACTGCTCAGAAGGGACCGAGCCGGGATCTGAGCTCAGGTGATGCGTTGCCCCAGGCCCGGGCAAAGCCCACCTTCAGCGCACACCTTCGCAGGCATCACAGGGAACCATAGCCCTGCCCCCAGCCCCCCGTCTGTTGGTAAAGGTGGCAGTGAGTGCTCACGGCAGCTCTTTCCACGCTCTTCCTGGCGATCCAGGGAGGTGAGGGTCCCATGCCCATGCTCCCTCTGCCCACACTTGTTCCCGAAGGGCCTGCACACAGTGAACAGGTGAAGGTGCAACAGAAATCTCTTTAAAACATTGCTAATGCAGGTTGCAGACAACAGAAGGGTTTTATGTTCCTTATTTTGGCACTGGAGAAATCTAGCCCCAGAGAGGCCAGGGTACTGGCCTCGGGCGACACAGCTGAAAGGGTCCCAAGCGCTGGACCCTGTGGTCCTGAGGTGGGCGTGTGGGCCCTGACACTGTTCCGTGCCTGATGGCCAGACTTGGGGAATGCTACTTGCCGCACTGTCCAAAGCTTTGCCCCCAGAAGAGAACTCAAATTCCCTGTCACTGTACATCACGCATCCACGGCTGAGCGTCACCTGAAATCCTGAATCCCACGCAACAGCCCCCGTCGGTAACTGAGTCAGGCACAGGTCACGAAACCCCAGAGCGTGATGAGTGGAGGTGTCAGCAATCAGGGCTGCAGACTCGGGGCTGCCTGTGGGGAATGACACTCGGTTCCTGCATGGACTCAGACGGAAGGAACAATGGGGTAAAGCTAATAGAAGCGCAGGACTGGTGCTTCCTAACTGTGGGTGCCCCGTTCCCTCCCCAAACCCTGTGGGCAAGAGCAGGGAGAGGTCACCAGCACATCCGGGGTTGCTTGCACTGCCGGTGAGGTGGCGGGGAGGGTGGGCCCCCCACGCAGAGGGATCATCAGTGGCCTGTTGGACCACTGCAAGCAGAAGGGCTGGCTCCTGCCCACCGGCCCTGTCACTGCCCAGCTGCCGGCGTCCAGGAGGGGCAGCTAACAGACCCCCATGCGCAGTGAGGCCAGGGTTGGAGAGGAACAAATAGGGGTCCCTCAAGCTCTTAGAGGGACTGATATCTAAGCCAAGAGCTGTACTCAGGTGGTTAGCCAGGTGAAGCCTGCAGAGCGTTCTCTGCAAAAGGGACAGTGTGCATGCAGGGAACTAAGAGGCTCCATACCTGGTAAGGACCCGGGCTTGGTTCCCCAAGTGGGGGTAGGGGGTTGGGTCCTGTGGTGGGCTCCTTGTGCTGCTGCGTGTTGCTGTGCTGGTGGGGTACAGGGGAGCCCCCGAGCTACCCCACTTGGCCCAGTGAGAAGACAGCAGGGCCCCAGCCTGGGACCCAGCAGGGAAGGAAGGTCATGAGTCCCATTTCACAGACAGAAGGACTGAGGCCAACAGTGGCCTCCTCCTTCCTAGCGTGCCTTCCTTTGGATTGTATTGACTTTGGGGCAAGTCATTTTTCACACCAAGAAGAACCCTCTTCCGACTAAAATTCCTTCCAGGAGCCCCACTTTCTGCTTCCTCGCGGATCCTAGGCTGGCCGCCTCCATGCTGAGAAGGGACCCTGAGGGGCTCGACCCCTCCTGTGAGTGCTCCTTTTCGCTGCCCCCTGCACTACACGCTCACCCTGGCCCTCGCCCCCCGCCCTTTCGACCAGCCTGGCGGGGAGGAACTCTCACAGGTGCTCCAAAGGAGAGAAAAGTGCAGGGCAGGGAGCGGGAATTCACGAGAGGGGGAGGTGGGGGCTGTGAATATACCTAGGCCAGCAAACAGATGCTGTAAGGCGTTGTTCCAACCTCCCAGTGATCAAGATTACACAGGGGAAGAGAGACACTGAGCTCTGCACCCTCAGCTGGGAACGCCGCTCCCCAGCGGGGAGGGAGGATGATGGGCGTGGTGTGCCCTGCACCTGTCTGGTCGCGGGCACTAGAACAGGAAGACCCTTCAGCATAGAGATGTAAAAGTCCGCCCCGCAGGTATTTATTTAAGGCCTATGGCACCTGACGACTGTTCATCTGGCACTTAGCACCAAGGAGGCGATCATGGGCAAGCCGAGGCGTGGGCACACGGAGGTTCAGGGTCGTGCGTCACAAAGCCTGGAGACAGTCGGTCCCCGATACACACAAAGAAATGCTTGGGGGGCCCACGAGGCAGGTCTGGATCTATGCGCATGGGAACCTGTCCAGGCTTCTTACTGAGCTAACAAAAAGGAGAAGTCGCATGAGATGGCGTAGCCCATGTTACATCGGGTCCTACTGCGAACCCGTGTATGTGTGCACACGTGGGCATGCGTGTGCTGGTAGGTGCGGGTGTGAGTGCAGGTGGGCATGGAGATGACTTGTGTGTACCCAGAGAAAACCCTGACATGACGTTCACCAAAAGGTTCAAAATCGGTTTCTCTAGGAACAGGATTTAGTCTGATTCTTAAACATTTTTTGTGATCTCCTGCCTGTTTCTTTTTACTTTTTATGACATGCGTATCCCATTTAGAAAAACAAAAAATGCTATTTTCCAGAGAATCCTCCATAAAGTCACCCTCAGAGGAGCCGAGGAAACACACATCAGCAGTTTTAGGTGTCTGTCTGTCTGTCTGTCTGGAAGAGCAGCTGAGGTCTGGGTGGTGGGGCTGGAGTACCCTCCCCCGCAGCCTCCCTCCTGGGGGCAGCCCGCCCCGGGGTCCCAGCGACTCCCCACACAGGGCGATTCTGAGGAACACATTAAAAATTCATAATTCAGCCCACACTGCGGGAGACCCTCGCGCGGGGAGCGGAGGTGGCCTCTCTGAGGAGGGGCCAGGGGGACTTCACGGGGTGCAGACGAGGAGCAGGGCACGCTCTGCAGGAAAGCAAGCGACATGGAAGGGTAAGGGGCCTCGGGGGCTCGAGGAGGAGCTACAAGTCCAGACGGTGGCCTTCCTTATGTGTTCTTGTCTACTCTGCTTAACAGATGACCCCGTAACTACATCATCTACCGTCTGCGTCTCTGTGGGTCGGAAGTTGGGCAGGGTTCATGGTCTGACGTGGCGGGGCTGCGACCCACCTGGAGCCCGGGCCCCTCAGCATCCGGGGTCACTCTCAGGCCCTTCCACGGGACCCTCCGCCTCCAGAGCTGGTTCCCATGAACAAGCCCTCGGGCAGGGGGACGGCCCTGGTCAGGTCAGGCCCATCAGGATGTCCCCTTCCTTAAAGTCAGGTTCCCGGGCTCTCCCGCATCCCAGGCGAACCGATGATCCCGGCGTGCACGCAGGGGCAGGACCTCGGGGCCATCTCCAAATGCCGCCTCTCACACCAGGGCAGCCTGCAACCCTCTCCCGGCACTGTCCTAAGCACTTAGCACAAAGTAGCAGGGCTGTGGTCAGTAGTCTCGACGTCCAGCTCTGGCCAGGCCCAGCCCTACAGCATCGACAGCTACCCTGCCTGCCACACAGGGCCGGGCCGGCCAGGCCTGCCAGAGCCCGCGGGCGGCCCGCCCAGAGGTCACCAGGGGGCATGGTCGCAAAGCAGCTGTCCTCCAGCACGGCCCAGTACCCTCGCTGCTGGCCACCTGCAGCCCCAGGAGCACGGGGCTGCCTGGAAACTTCTGGGCCGTCTCTTTGCCACCTTTCCAGTGCTGGAGGCCCTCCTGGGAGGGGCAGCTAATGTGGGAAACAGCTGGTGTAGCGGCTCAGCCGCCCTGGGCATGGCCGCTGGGGTGGCGGCCTGGCTCCGGGCTGTGGGGCTCAGCCCTGGCCCTGCTGCCTGGGATCTGGGCCAGGCCCCAGCTCTGCGATCCTGGGATGCCACGGCATGCCCTGGGCCATGCTGGATCCTGTCACTCCTTTCACAGATGAGAAACTGGGGCCCCGAGGGCTCTAGGCTTCCCGTGCATTTCTCACTCAGTCCTCACGTCTACCCTGGAAGGTACCCCTGGAAGGAGAGGGGTAGCATCTGCTTCCAAAGCTAGGGAAGCCGAGCCTCCACTAAAGAGCCGGCTGCCAAGGCCACAGCCGAGTTGGGACGAGCTTCTGGGTCCCTGTCACATTCATTCCACACGCGTGTCCTCGGCACCGGCTCTGAGCTGGCCCTGGCTGGGCCTGGGGGCACGGACGCAGATGCGCCCCGGTCCCTGACCTCCGCAGCCCACGGCAGTGACGTGGGCACCGTGGGGAGATGCTGGAGGGCCGGGACAAGCCCCTCGACCAGCGGCAGCTCTGCCTAGAAGGAGGATTTTGTTGGACGCTTGGGAATCTCTCCGCCAGGTCAGGGGGTGAGGAGGCCCCCCGGCCTCACACATCCTATTGC